TGCGCAGCTCTAGTGCGACGTAAATGAACAACAGCAACAACATCAACGCATTCAACTCAAATCAATGAATTTTAATCTTGTAACAATCTTTTTACAGACGATTATAGGTTCAATTTTAAATGAGAACATCAAATTCCTTAATTTGAGGCACTCTTTGAAAAAACAAAACGTGCAGACGATTAAAAAAGGACGATAGCTGTGGTTCAAGTTTGCTTTAAAATCTTTTTATTCATCTAATCGTTTTATTCATCCAATCGTTTTAATCATCTTATCGTTTTATTCATCTTAATCGTTTAATTCATCGAATCATTCTACTCATCGATTAAAATCGCTTAAAACATTTAATTGCTTTTTTCGAACAAATGTCAATTAGATTTAAATTCTTCTGAATGATTTTACCCTATTGAATATCTTTCCATTTAAAGTTTCATAAGTTGTAAAATTAAGTTTAAAATTTTACACAAATTATTAGTTGGATTATAAATTACGGATTAAAGAAATCTAAACTTAACTACTCATCACAATATATGCTTCAATGCAAAGAAAGCGCCTCATATTCTATTGAAGATTTGTCTTCATTTTTTCCTGAAAATAAATCTTTGAAGTGCAAACATTTTCGATATTTGTCGAAATGTACAGTGCGCAAATAAAAAAAAATGAACCACACTGAATACCTTTTGATCTAATTGTTGGATTTTCACGTTCTAGGGCTCAATTTTAATGACTCGAGGGGATGACCTTAAACATGCTAATCAATGCGCAAAAAAACTAATTAATGTTTGCTAAAGTGCAAACGATATTTTAAGTTACGAAATCAGACACAAAAAGTTATTTTCTCTGAATGAACATACTATTTTTTCGACGGATTCGGATTTCTGACCACCAAAATATAGGGAGTAGCCGCAATCTGGGAAAAATGGTCCTAATAGTTTGGTCAGGAGAGTGCTCCTAAGTTTGAGCTCCTAAATATTATTTCTCTATACCTCGAGAACTTCTTATGCGAATTTTAAAAATTTTACACCCAATTATAAAATTCGTTCATCCTACGATAATTCCATGCAAAAAATAAATTTTAGTAAACGTTTATTATTTTTTATTATTTTATGTAAAAATGGTCGAACAAATTTTGAATTATAAAATACGCAATTTTTGCATTATTTTAGGGAATGCAATTTTGTATGGCAAAATACAAAATTTAAGTGAAATCGGTCGAATAGTTCCAGAGAAATTAAATTTCAAAAAAGTCAGACTCTTCAAAATTCGATTTCTAAATTGTAATTATTGTAAATGTGTAAAAGTTTTCAAGTCGCTTGAAAAGATCTTGAGATATGCGGATTTTTAACTTCGGATGTGTTTTCATTACAATTTTAAACTCACGCGCTTTTGATTTTCAACTATATTATTTTATATAAAATGATATACCTCCCCGTTAATGTAGATTCAGTATAGCTGTAATTTATTACTCGATATTTGACTTTGTCGACTTATTTTTGAAAAAAAAAGATGAAACTATGATTAACTTGTTGAAAAGTAGGCATTGCCTTGATTTTAAATTCAATTCAAGGACATCGTTTTTTTTTAACGCAAATGCTGGTTAATTTCAAAGAAATTTACCATAATTAGCACTCTTAAATTCTAGTCTGAATTACTACGAAAGAAAAAAAAATTACGCATTGTAAGTATTTGGTGAATTATTGGTGAAGGTATAGCTCAGGGGCGATAGTATTTTCATAAATCCTTAAACTACCTATTTCATAACTTTTTTTAAGTATTTAAGAGCTAATTATTTACATTTTAATTGCGCTATTTTTTAGGGCTTAAGTTAAAATATTCCGTAAGATTCAATTAAAATTTTGCTTGTAGAAAAAAAGTTCCCTCTTAATAAATGAACCATACCATTACGATGACTGTGAATTTTAATTTTTTTTCTCACTAGTTGCCCAAAAACTGTTTTAGAGTACTTATAGGTAGTTATTTTTGTCCATTCAGAATAAATTTAAAATTTCAATCCGTGAAGAGGTGGGATGTTTTTATTTTATTAAAATAACCTGTGTGCAGTATAATCTAAAAGCACTAATACCATTTAGTTCTCAAAAATTATAAAGCTGTGACTATATTATCTACTATCTTACTATAAATTAGCTAAGTATATTATCTAAAAAATAGTGGCTCTAAAACTATACTATCAGACTAGTCTTATATTTTCCGGCTATTATTCAACCTAGATAATATAACTGGATAGTTGGGCCATATCGGAGTCCTAGTTAACTGGATAGTTGAGTCAAAATCTCTAATCAATTCCTGATCTCTCTCGGAGGCAAAAATCTTTTCTGATCGAGATTTTAAACATAATAAAATCTACTTATTAGATGACCGTTCCAGTAATAGGTAAATTTTTTTTTACTTAATTATACTTTAATTGTACTTAATGTGTATTTTAATAGTATATACTTATAAGGTATTAAGATTAATTTGAGTTGGTACTAATAAGATTAATTGAGTCAAACAACTCCTGTAAATACATATCTTGAATAAATTTGTATTTTTGAAATTATTTTTAGAGTGTATCGCTCAATATAACTTTTCTATGACAGATTTTGATTCTTAAAGACCGTTCAAATGTGTAAGCGTGTTTTGGGCAATTTTGCACTCACCCCTCTTGTTAGCAAAATAATTGCATTTCCAACGCTTATGTAAGAACGTCTAACACTTTTTTTTCTGCCACTTGAAGCAAAAATACTTCAGTAGAAATCAGCTTCACATTAAAATAAACGATGCAAGTTAGTACAACAAAAGTGTTACATTTTATAAAGTTTCCAGTTTAATATTCTTTAGGAATCCTGTGTTTACTTTCAGTGTTAAGTCTTGACCTCTAAAGACTAAGCAACTTAGTCCAAATTATTTATTTCTTAACTTTAAATTTGAAATAAAGTTTTCTAAGTGAAATTTTTTTTCCATTAAGAAGTTTTGAAAATGTGGTTTTAATGTGATCCGTAAGCGTTGCTCATAGTCCTCACTCTTGTCGGCAAAATAATATCGAACCCCTCTCAGTTTTGCTTTTGTAATATTTGAACGATCCCCTTAAGCAATCGAATAGTAAATAAAATTCAACAATTAAACTACTCTTTAAATATTGCCTTCCAGAAAGTTTAAAACTAATTTTGCATTACATGTTCATGCTTTCAAGCACATACTTATAGACTTCGTTTGGCACATCGTGCTTTTTTGGAATTTTTTGCCAATAATTTCTGCCTATAATTTATAGCGGATGCTTACTNGAACACTTCACGTCTTCACTCTGACTATCAGATACACCGCGTACCTCGCCATCTGATTGGCTGATCACGGAAGCGAATTTTTGCCCTTTCCCTGCGGTTAACGTCTAGTCAAATAGGCGCTTTTCAGTAAAACTGGCGAATTACCGCGAAGACCGGAGTGAAAAACTTGCGTCTTCACACTTTACATACATTACGCATTACGGTCAAAGAAAGAGTGGACAGCATGAAATTGCAATTAAACAGTGAGTGACGGCGCTTCACTCATTATATGTACACTGTATGGTATGCAGCATGCAGGGATTTCATAAAAATTTGGCGACCCCCAAAAAAAACTTCTGGCGACCCCTAGTCTGCGCACCACTTTTTTAGAGAACAAATAATCACTTTGTCCAACAAAAATTAGCTAAATTAAGAAGAGAAAGAAGAAGCTATGTTTAATGTTAAAATCAAAATCTTGGCTGACTTCAATGTTCTGTTGGATGCTGTCCGTCATTGCCGTCGTTCAAACTTAGCGTTCGATGACTTATGCTGTCTAACTCACAAATTGACCAATCAGGGGTTAGAGCTCGCTTCAAGCTGACGTTTTGTAACGCCGATCTGTCACAAGAAAACAGGCCTTAAAGCGTCATCTTTGACGTCAAACTCAAAATTTGCATACAGCGAAGTTCGAAAATAATAGAAATTCGCATTTGTGACCCCCTTCTTCCATTTTATGCAACAACAAACAATGTCGCTTATACTATTAATTTGTACAATAATTCAAATGTTTTATCTTTTAAATGTTTTATCTTACATATCTTTTAAATGTTTTGAGCAGTGTATTGAGAAACGTTTTTGAAAACTATATAAACCGTAACTGCAACACCTATTTAGAAACGTTTCGGATTTTTTTCTTCTTTTTAACAGTGTATGTTTTATTGGATAGACTAGTTACAGCTTCTGAACCGCGAATTTAACTGTCGGACATAAAACCAAACTTAAAATCCTTATAAATATATTAAATATCTTCAAAAAAAACTTTTAATCTTCAATACCTTCGAATACTTTATTTATAAAGTCGAGGTTCCGTAAAAAAAAAAAAAAAAGATTTTTTTAGCGTTCCACTGCCGAAAAAAATTGAGAGCCGCTGGAGTATTTCTCAAAAACTTTGAAGAAACAAACTGCCCCCCTATTTTAAACATTGACAATTGAATAACAATCTGGTTCTAATAAAATTACTTTCTTGCTAACAAAATATTCTTTTGTTTTGATATTGGCTGGTGATTCACGCATAAATTCATCCACCTCAGAAATCTAATAAAGTCAACTGGAACATATGTGAATTGGAAATATTGATTTATATTTTTATATTATTTAGTACAACAGTTTCGCACTAATTGAATAATTTCAACAAGTAAAAAGCACCATAAAACTAGTAAAAAGCACCATAAGATAAAAAGCACCATTTGGCAACACTGGAAAATCTTATAAGCAGGCTGTCGTAGCCTTGATAATTTTTAGCTTTGCAGCGAGTATAGGTACATCGTTAAAGAAACATACTTATTTTAAATAATTTTCTTTCAAATTTTGACTCAATACTAACTTATTAAAACTCTAAGTTAAACGAAACGTTTAATTGAAATAAAAGAAAAAAATTATCACAATATCAATAGATAAATGGCATGTAGAAAAATACATAAAAAATAGTTACATTTAATATATAAAAACAGTTGATATACTTACCATCGGCAGGCTTGCCTGTAATAAGGAAAAAAACTAATTAAAAAACTGAATAATAATGAAAATATTTTAATTATGCTAACAAAAGAGAAAAATTGTTATACGTTACATTATGAGTGGAAATTCAAACAATTTTATGGACATTATGTTTACATTTGAATAAATTCATAAATTCAATATTATTAAACATTAACATCGCATTAGAAAAAATAAGACAAATTTTTAAATAGTGCATTCATAAAAAAGTTCACTTCAAATAAAATAATCAGGCTTTCTCGCGTTATTAAGGAGTTCGTACACAACAAGAAGATTAAAAAAAACTGGTCCTGATTTAATTGATTTAAAAATATTAAATTTTAAAGTTTGAAATTACCAGAATATTTTATTTTAATGCTAAGTATATATATGTAAATCCAAAGATTACAATATAATAGCAATAACGGCAAATAATTAAAATGAATAGGCAGGCTCCGAAAAGCAGAAACTTAATAAGTCTCAATTAAGTCTCAATAAAGCGTCACAATATGAATTTTCAATTTACAATGAAAACTAATACTACGAAATTTTCAACTTCTCTCTTAAAAAGATTGATACCAGTTTTTAATCTTTCAAGGCGTTTGCGAATCCTTGGTCTTTATGTTTTCAGATACAATCTTTATAGTATGAGGCAATAATTTTAGATATGCCACTTATTTTGAATTAATTTATTGATTAGGTTACCACGAACAATAAACTTATATTTAAACGTATGCTTAGGACTATTTACTCTGACGTCATCATAATGCTTTTTTTTTTTTTTTTTTTTTTTTTTAAAGTTTTGCGAGACCTTACGGGCCCCCCACCGTTCTCTAGCAACACTTAAAAGAAACAGTTCATTGATACAGTAAACAGTAGTTGACACTCTACGATAAGTTATGTACATTTTTTTATTCATTTCTGTACGATTATATTTGTATCATGACTAAATAATAAATCTTTGTGATTATAATCATAATTATTTGTTTTAGAGATCAGTATTTGTGCTTTTGAGATTTTTTCACTAGTACATTGATATCGAAACATAAAATTTTTGAATTTATTCTAAATCTTTTATTTTAGATTTTAAATCCATTATACGTAAAAAGTGAATTTTTTCATGTTTGTATTTTACTCCAATATGTTTTTATTTTGTATCGTTAAATTCCAGAAAGAGAAAATCTACATTAGTCACGATTTTTCGTTTTTATTCTTCCATTAGTTTAAAATAATTAATGGTGCCTGTCATCCATGTTATTAAGTATTAAATTCAAAATTAAAATAAATGTAAAAAAATGACAAATGATTAAAATTTTAAATCGTCATTTACTTCAGAAAATGTGTTTATCTTACAAAACACCCTATATTCTTTAAAAAGAATTAACGTTTAAGCACTTCTTAGAACTAAAATAGAGCAAATAACCAAACGATTACAAAGAAATTCATAAATTTAAGTAAAATATAAAATATTAAAAAATTATAACTCATCTATCTAATTAATTGTTAAGCTTATTGCTGTAGCATGGCGATAAAGGCGCTACGACAGAGTGTTGCTTTTTTGTGCGCCTTAATTTTACAAAAAAAAGATAGAAAAAAAAACGCGTAGCCTTTATATATGCTCTAGCATTGGAGTGGAAACTATTTCTCTGTATAAGTTATTCATAAAGGTGAAAATATACGGTTACTGTTATTTACGGATTTTTTTTTTAAAGAAAAGTTTACTATGTATCGACGGGAAACAATTTATGTTGGCGTTACTTATGAATGAAAATCGTTTACATGTATATATTTGTTGCTGTTTTGAGGCGTCTTCTGTCAAACGTTCTATTCAAACCATTGTTTATTAGACTTATTTAGATGTATTTCTTCACGTCAATACTAACAATTCACTTCATAATTGCTCCAACTAATATTTTTTATGTGATTGTAGGCTTCATTAGTTTTTAGATCTTTGCCCTTCCTGGCATATTTTTTTTCTTTACTTACATAAATTGTTGCTCTAAACATTACTTTTAGAGAACTGTTCAACTTCCAACCGATTTCTCTAAGTTACCATAATTACTATTAAACACTTATTTATTGTTTTGGCTGATGTCTTCGTGTCTTAGTGCCACTTCTAATTCATTCCACTGCCGATTTAGGTATCGAAACTCAATAAATGTTATTCTTCTTTTCCCTCTACAGACCTTTATATCAATCTTTTAATTGTTTATTTAATTATTAATTGTTTTAATCAATAAATGTAAGCCTGCTGCATTGCACTCCTCTTCAAATTAAATAACTTTTTTAGATGTTTTTTTAATATTTTTTTATATCATTTAAAATTAAATAAACAACTCATATCTTTTTAAAGGAAAAACGAGGTTCAGGATTGGCTATAGGGAATCCGAGTAAAGCAGCGATTTCGTTAGTGAAACCCAATTTTTGAGAGCAGTGTAGCTAATGCACTGTATGCTGATATGCTGATAATGCATAATATGCTAAGTATAGTTGCATAATATGCTGATTGATGAGGTTAAAGCAACCTATCTCCGATTCGGTAATTTTTCAAATGTAGTTTTCTATATAATATTTATTAGGTGAGCAGAATCACTTAAAAGGTTGTATTGTTACAGTTAGAATAAAATTAATCACTGCAGCCGAAAGAACTATTTTTTTTTCAGCGCAAAATCAACTAGAAAAACTCCGAGAGAAAAGAAAGCAAGGATTGTTCTTGCTTTTTTAAATTAAAAAACGAATAAATTCTTGGCAAACTTTGAATTTTAAATGCAGTTTAAATTACTGTCATTATTATTAACTTTAAATCAATGGTACAGGATTAGTATATTTTTTTAAATATAATTAAGTGTGAAAACCATTATACAGTACACTACGTTCCTCCAATAACTGTTAGGTAAGAACATCGGATTATAATTAATTCTCACATTCTCTAAAATTATCATGTTAGTTAACTTTAAATCAATAGAGCAGGATTGGTATAGCTGTTATTATGTAATTTAGTGTAAATACCATTATACCGTTCCTCCAATAGCTGTGTAAAAAAAGCATGAATAAAGAATGAGTGTTTTACTTGTTATTAATATAAATTGTAAAGTTATTAATGCGCGAAATATTTTGTATTTTAAGGAAGTTCAATATGAAAAAGTTATAACACTTCTCGTATATAATAATTTAAGGAATAGTTTGTCTGCTTGTCTGTGTAAGCGTCTCTACTATGACTCTACTCCTGTAGTAAATGGTGATTGGTGCACATTAAATATGTCGGTCACAAAGTCCTCCATGTTCCCATCATAATAACAAAACAAAAAAATATGTATATATATATACCTCGGGGGTACTGAATTGAAGATTGACATTAGAAACAACAACAATAACACTACGACTCCAAGCTCGTTTGTGCTATAGTCATTACTAATAGCAAGTGCAAGAAACAATTTTAACACCAATCTGAAATATCGTTCAAAAATTTCAATGAGCTCGTTCGGGATGGATGTTAGAAAAGGCAGTTTTTCTCTTTGCTTTTTAATATTAGATATTGTTACAAATAAAACTGTCGACTATTCCGTTTCATTTTCTCTCTTTTTCAAATATTTAAAAAATATCATTAGCTGTATTTGTTAGCTTATTACTCTGTCTAATCACGCGACACGGTAGTTTATTACCCATTCTTAAATAATTAATTATTATTTATAGTTTATGTCGGGTGAGCTCAAAAATCAATGTGAATGGTATGTGAGAATTACGTCACTGAGCAATTGTATCTAAGCACATGCTTATACTGTTCACAGTTATGCTTTTGAAACGTGTTTATATAATACTAAATAGTTTAAGGTATCCGACTACCTTAAAAAAGAGGATTTTCACAAAAAATCTCTTTTTTATTTTATTGCTTTATAATAATGCCCAATTTTTCTAGTTTTAAAAACTGTTTTGTTTTTGAATGCACGTCAAGCAGAACTTTAGTTATAGCTATTTTAGTAACAGATGACAGCTGTCCAACTTACCGGAAATTACAAAAATGAAGCCGGTAGTAGGTNAGAGCAGAATTAATGATGAAATTTGCTTGATAGCGAAAAATTTTGATTAGTTGTTCAATAGCATCATTTTCAGAATCGATTAATACTGAGTTAGACTTTATTAAAATGAGGTTTACCTCTAGTGTAAAAACGTGTTTTACTAAATCTAATAAAGTTAAGGCACCAGGAAGAATAACAAATAATAGTGAATAAATAAATTCTTATTATTATAGCTTTATCAACGGTATTAGTACAGTTTTTCTGCGTTTTTTTCTTTTTTAATGATTTCGTAATGTTGATTAATATCGATTGATTGATTATTTCCTTTTTCTTTTCTCTGTAAGTACCGTTAAAAGCTGAAAAACGGAAAATAAAAATGAGAGCTAAAGTGTTAGAAGTATGAAATGTAAAAACTGCTACTATTTAATAGAAAATAGAAATTGAACTCACAAACACTAAAGTTTCTTAGAAAGTATAAAGTAAATAGATTTTAACTTACATTCAGTTAGACATACAACGGTGCACACAACCAAGAAAATCAGAACAAATCTAGACATATTGAGGTTATATTTAAAGACTAATCGTACCTGATACAGTACTAATAAAGCAGCTGTTTTAAATCGCAGTGAAATTTACCACCTAAATTTTCTCTTTTATTCTATAAGTTATGAGTCATTTATAATCTTTTAGTTTGCTTTGAAACAGCTCATTTTTAAAAAGTTTATCATTAATTTCGAGACTTAGAGATTTTTGAACGAGAAATTTTAAATCCATTTTTCAGTCAGCTGCTCTTATATCAATGCAATATCAATAAGACTTCTACATAAGCGCTGTTATAATCTGCACCAAGAATAATTCCTACGACTTATTTAATGCGTGCATCATTTTGAGATAAGGACCAATTTTTCTTTTATTATTTCAGATAAAATCTCTCAAGGTCATGGAAGCGGGATTGAATATATGTGCCAACAATTGTTTAAAATTGTTTTTTATGTAATTTGCAATTACCTTGTTTCATGATTTCAGAATAATCACTAACATTTCTATTAATTTCTTATAAAAATTAAATTAAAAATGTTGGAAATTATTTTAAAATCATGAAAGTAAGTAATATCAAACTTTTTTTTTTATGAGATTCAAATACTTTAACATAGACTAGTTAGTTTTGCCTTTAGCGCTAACGCTGGTAACCCCCCCCCCCNGTAAACCCCCCCCCCCGTTGCAACCAGTGTCTCAGTCTAATGGATGGGGCTTTAGTGTTTAAATACCCCCATAAGTCACCCTTAAGAATTCAATCAGTTAACTTAAGTAAAAAGTAGCGTGAAAAAAGCTCAAATGTACATAAATGGACATACTATAGTTTCAGTTCTGTAGATAAGTAACCTTCCTCAGTGTGAACTTTCTAACACTGAGAAAGGTTCATGTTTACAGAGCTAAAACTATAGCATGTCCATTTATATACTTTCATTTGTGCTTTATTCTCGTTGTGTTTTGCTTTATACAAAGCACAAATATCCCTTAGGAAAATTTGCCATAGAGAAGCCTATGGTAATCTATGGCAACCTATGATTACCATAGAAATTTGTATGGCAAGATACCATACGCCTATGGTTACCATAGAGATTTGTATGGCACAACCCCATAAGCCTATGGATACCATAGAAATTTGTATGGCAAGATACCATACGCCTATGGTTTCCATAGAAATTTGTATGGCAAAACCCCATTAGCCTATGGCTACCATAGAAATTTGTATGGCCAGATACCATAGGCCAATGGTAACCTTAGAGACCAGTATGGCATTTATATGGCACGTCACCATTCTCCTACGGCAACCATAAAAATTTGTATGGCAGTATACCATAGGCCAATGGTAACCATAAAGATTTGTATGGCAGTATACCATAGGNCATTCTTCATTTAACACGTTCACGCCCACCGGTGGGTCACGCTAGATTGTCTCATCTTGGCAGCTCACCGGAGTAAAAACTGGTAACAATAAATTTCATTTTTTAGTTTTTTTCCGGGAATAAGGAGAATCCATAACTACCAATTGTTTTTAACGGATGCAATTTTTATATTGAATTGCTTCTTCGCCGTGATAAATTTCCTTACAGTGAATTGTTATTGTTGAGAATAGATTAACTCTTCCCGAATATTATCTAATATTGAAATAGTTCTTCTACCAGTATTTTCTCTTTTCCCGTACCAGTATTTTCAATTTTCCCGGCGTGAACGTGTTAAGCAGTCTGTGACGTTTAATATATACATCACTCTTGACTTCATCACTTTGGAATAAACTATGGAGAGTTGAAAATGCATCCATCAACATCTTCAACTTGTGTTAATCATCATGTTCTAGATAAATATTCTACTACTACTGTCGTCTCCCAACTACATCAAACTACTTCAACATACCAAATTGTTAAAATATCGATGTTCTTTCCATCTTCGTCACCCCTTCTTAAAATTTGCAAGACCGGTAGAAACCTTGATTATAAACATACCAGACTTGTAAACTTCTCCGATGTTTGACCAGAGATTTTTCTCAAATATTTAAAGTGGTAGTCAATTTTATAAAGTTGGGAAATATGATATTTGCGACCTTATTTTAATCATTCTATGGTATACACTATCTGGACACTCTGTGTTTATGGTGGTGGAGGCATAATGGTCTGGGGGGTGTTTCTCGTGATTTGGCCCGTTAGTTCCTGTGGTTAGAAATATGATCTCTGATGTGGACATTCTTGACAATTCTGCACTCTCAACTCTATGGCAATATTTCGGCCCATTCCAGCAGAATAACTGCTCCATTCACACATCGATGCTTGCGCAGACGTGGTTTGACGAAATGGGTGTTCAAAAACTGGACTGGCCTTCTCAGAGCCCAGGTCTAAGTCCCATAGAATACTTTTGGGACGAATGAGAGCGCAGATTACGTAACCATATTTTGGTACATATTTTGGAAAATAATTTTAATACTAATGAAATAATTAATACTAATTAATAATCAATTTAAAAAATTAGTTTTAATACTAATGAATATTTTAACACTAATGAAAGCAAAACTACAGAAAGCCCAAAATGATTTTAATTTCAATTAAAGGCGGGAAATCTCACTGTGTAAATTGCGAAAAATGTGTAATTAATTGCACTATCTCTTAGCAATATTCAGAAATAAAAAAAAAATAATTGGGGGATTTAAAGGGACGTTTAAGTAGCGACGTATTCAATTTCAATGATGCTATGCCGACCATTTGGGCACAAAACGCCGAACATATGAGATGCGACGCCGACAGAGCAGGGATTAAAACCTAATTATAAAATTTTGATTAAGCTTTCAAACTGTTTGAAAGGTTTTTCCCGACCAAAAGGACGTTTTATATAACAGTTGAATTATTTATATTTAGTGGTGGGAAAAATAATTTTAAATCAAAATAAGAATCACATGTTGTTTCCGAAATCGAAATTTTAAGATTTAACTACTATTCTTATATATATAGCATGAATTTTTTAAATGCAAGCAGTTGCATGCCGCTCAAACGAATGTTATTGTGCTCAAAATTACATAGTTCTAAATTAAAGTGATAAAAAGAAATTTATGAATTGTTTGGTACAATATTGACAACTTTTTTTAAAAAATTTTTAGGGCTATACGAACTCTGTTGGGTGAGAAATAAGCTCTTGCTATTTTTCATCCCTTTTTCTTGAGTGAGATATACATGTTATAATAGTAAAAAAAATTGGTGCTTATAGATCGTTTCCCAAAAACAAGCTTCTTCGTAGTTTTGAACCCAACACAGAAGACGCCTGGATCAAGCATTGGGAGAAATTAGTACTTGTGAAGAACTTTTTGATGAAACTAACCCACATTTGCGTTACATGGATAGGCAAACCTCACACGGTTAGCTTAACGGCTAAGAGACTCTATCCCATGATCCATCACACACTAAGGATATTTTACATCAGCGCATTGGTTGGTGCAAGCCGGGTGCAGAATTCGTATCAATCGGCCATCGCTAGAATTTGAGCTTGGGTCACCTCATTGGGAGGCTAGCACTCTATCCCCTGCGCCATCATCGTTATGTGTGCTCCTTTGAAAATAACTCTAAAGTCAAAACAACATATGATCTTTACATCATACACTGAAATGTATTTCGCATCCTTCCTTTCTTGCCCTACGCGCGAGATAAGTGAGAACATTTAGTAGTCACTCGAATAAATTTTTAAAAAAAATTCGGGTTCTGACTATATTATTAAATTGCATAAAACATGCTTATACAGAGACACCGATAGCGGATATGAAATAAACGATGCAAAACTGTCTTACAAAAATAGCATGCAACAGAACACGAAATAAAATTTGTTCCCAAATGTTTGATAGAATTAAAAATGGACGAAACAGAACATTAATTCCTTCTTGTTTTAACAAAGCAGAATCCATTAGGCCCTTTAACCATTCACGAAAGCATCCAACAGTAAGATAAGCAAAATAAATAAGCAAAAATGAAATGGACTTCAAGAGTTGGTTATCATCGTCCTACATTACTATTATAAATAAGTATACGTAATAAATATATGCATAAACAATCACAAAAAATACTTTTCTTCAGAATTAATTAAGTGCAAATACGACCTTGCAACTGATTAGTTAACCCTTTTATGCAAAAAGTTATTTTAAAAAATAAGTTCTTTCATTTTAGTAGTAAAAGTATTTAATAAATTTTAACTTGCAATAATTAAATAGTTCTTATACACTATAATTCATTGATATTTTTTTTCTTTTTTTAATAACCGTCGTTGAACAGCCGACCCAATTTTATGGGTTTACGACTACTAATGTCCAACTCCGTAGCCTTGTAATCTTGAACCCAATCCAGAAGACAAGGGAAAGCCTGGGACTTGTTTTGGGAGAAATTTGCCTTCGTGGAGGACTTTTTGTTGCAGCTAGCCCGCATTTGCGTTACATGGAGAGGAAGACCACAAGAACCTCCTACGGTTAACCTGACGGCAAGGGAACTCTAACCCATGATCTGTCTACCACTAAGGATATTTCACGTCAGCACTGTGGTCGGTGCAAGTCGGATGCGGAATTCGTATCGACTGGGATTCGAACCCGGTTCGCCTCATTGGAAGGCGAACGCTCTATCCCCTGAGTCATCGCGGCTCAACACATTAATATTAAAAATATTTATTATAACACTTTTAATGGAAGTAACTACTTTTCTTCCTTAAAGTCATTTTTTACGTTATTGCATTTTCACTTTGTCAATAGTAGGTTAACTATCCTAACATCCATTTTTCACGAATCATCTATTTGACATGTTAAAAAATGAATGACAGAATGTGAAATTTAATTTATTTTTGTTTTAAAAGCTTAAACAAAAAATTAAGCTAAAACAAATAAATATGCAGCGAGATACCAAGATGAGAGAAAAATGGGCTTCAAAAAATGATTATCATCACCTCTGACCCCAAATTATCCACCACACGTGGTCAGCAATAATGTAAACAGCAATAAATATATACATAAACAATCCCACTCTGTAGAATTAAATAAGCTTTTTCAAATAAATAGGCACTTTGGGTGGTCTACCCGAGGCGATTCGAAAGACTTTAAATTAGGGTATCAACTAGAGTGATTTCTTGACAAGCACGCATAATCTAGCTGATGACAATGAAGATTATTTATATGATAATAAGATACTCAAAAAGAATGGAGACTGGTTTTGTAGATGATGAGAAAATGATGTTTAGTCAGAGCGTTGGTGGTTTGTGATACGATTATGTTCAACTTCATTTCAA